TCCACCGCAGTTGTGGACGAAACGTCAGGAAGAAATTCCCATAGACCACGGCTTCAAAGCCCGGAAAACATTCCTAAATGCAAATAGCATCTGTCGACTTTCTAACATATTTCAGTATTTCTGGCGCCGCACTTTGAAAAGCTACAATAACGAATCTACAGAGTTCTTCTTCAGTTGCAAAACTTAGCTCATAAACGCAATTCTTGATATACTCTCACAAAAAGAAATCAAGTGGAGAGATATCAAGTGACCGTGTTGGCCAGGGTGTCTCAGAATTAGTGATGGGCCGGTAGGAACTGACCCGACTCAGTGAGCCGGATCTTTGAAAAGACCCGACGGGTTCGAATCTCAACATTTTCTAAAAACGGGTTTTGTAAAAGCAGCGTTCAACTGTAGTACAAATAAGTAAACATTTTCTTTTCAAACTTACAAAAACTTAAGTAAGTTCAATTTAATAAAACTTATCAGATACAACTAATAATCATTCCAGGACAAAAATGATTTTTTTCTGTTTTTTTATTGTTCACATACAGGGTGATTCAAAATTGGCGTCATTCATCTGGAGGTGTTGTCTGGCGCTGTTATAGGAGTACAGAAAAAATAGTAAAATAATTTAATTGTTATTAAAAACTGAGAAATTTCCAAAAAACTATATCCGAGATACGGCAGCAATGTTTTTCAAGGTAATCTGCCTAATTAACATTGCGCAAATATCTGTTGCTTAGCAATTATTAAAAACTCCGGTAACCATGGAATTATACAGTGATAATGAGATAGGCAAGGTAAATCATAAACGGTAAATTCAACAAGATTCGTTGACTGCGCAACGTACTTTCGAAATGTCAACCTGTTCTCATAACCTCGAATTCTGCGGGGTTTGGTGTTTACATAAATAGTCCATACAACACCAAACATTTGAATGGTTGACTCCAAACAAGCTAGTGCTTGTGTAATCTCCTTATTATCCACTCTTATCAAGCAGCTTCTTGTATTCAGTTAATTAACTCGTCCTCCGTTTGTATCTCCTTGTGCTGTGTGTATCGTACAAACGTGGTAGGAATGTTGCCCTTTCGCGGTATTTATTTGGTGGTTGGGAAAGTGTAAGTTATTGTGCTCTGAGCCCCTGGAAGGCCCTGATTCGATTATGTCCAATACTTGTTCCTCTGTGTCTGGAACCCGAACATCTATTGCCGTCACTATCTTCCTGGAACCACTCTCCTCGCCCTTTGTTGGCGTGAGTTCTTTCAGCTTCTGCCATGTTACTGTAGCATTTCCCCTGAACTAATCGCATATCAGCAAATTCATGAAAGGAAATTCAAAGTAAGTCACAGTTTGACAAATTTTTGTTATTATTGATAAGGGCTATCCACCTGTAACTATCAGTTAATGACAGAAAACATCATTGCCTCTGTGTAGAAGAGAACTTTTTTGATGTAAAAAATTTTCGTAATTTGAAGCAAAGATTGTAATTCTTCTTTTTGAATGCTTAAGTATTCCAATATGCTACCAATTAAACATGGAACAATTTCTAAATAATGCTTAATAACAAAGTTGAAATTTGATCTTCAACTGTTAATATTTTTTAGAAATTTTCGAAAAAAAGAATTTCAGTATTTTTGTCGTACTCCCCAAGTGAGCCTCTATCACCCCTTAAAAGGAATGACGCCAATTTTGAATCACCATTATTAACATTATTTATAAATAACCGGGTATTCCAATCAACATTTTTAAAACCTCCCTGTGTTTTATTAATTTCTAGGCGACATTGGTGGGACCATAAGTCATTTTTACCAGAAAAGCCAAAAATACAGTCCATTACCTACAGGGTCTACATTTACTGTTCAAAAAGTGGATGCTTTTTTGGAAAAGCTCTCGAAACTAACCAAAGAAGAAGATCAGATCGGACATTTTTCAAATATTCTGAAACATTTGACTGCGGATGATCTGAAAACGATAATCAGATTAATCAAGCACGATTTGAGGATGGGAGCTGGTGCAAAGCACATTTTGGAAGGAATCCATCCAGATGCATATAGCGTTTATAAGGCGTCGAAAGACTTGGATGGTGTGGTAGAAAGGTGGGTCTTTAAGGTGTACTTTTAGTACATTATCCTGTAGAAGACTAGAACGGATTATCGTTTTTTTTTAAGTAATTGAGTGGAATTACCAATTTGGAAATTTTATTTGGTTGCTAGGGAATATTTTCATAATGGTTCTTAATTTAATAAATATAAAAATTTTTAATAGTCTTGATTGCTATCCCGATCAACAAATCTTATAATGTCTATTCTCTTTCATGAACTTTAAATCATTTGCAACGATTCTTATAATTTGCACCTAACAGAGGTTGATTGATGTGTTATTTTGAGAAATTGTAACTTCTGAAAATTAAAAATCATAATAGTTCAGGTAGTAAAAATAAATGTATGTATTTATATGTATTTAATCGGAGCAATTTTTGATATTCAATTGTGAAAACACTATGCATTATGTCAGAAAAAATGTGTTTAGAATCCTTTAAGCTGAATACAAGGAATTTATTAAGGAAAACAATTGGAAAGTTTGATATAAATATAAACAGTTTGGTCAAAATTTATCGCATATGCATGTGAGTGATCCAAATTTACTTAATTTCAACTTTTACTTTTACTTAATTTCAAATTACTGTGGATTACTCGGACAGTAACAAAATACCATTTAGCTTTTCTTCCAAATACTCTCAAACCTTGTTTAAACTGAACGCCATTTCCAATTGGAAAAAAAAATAGTTTTGCGTTCAAACTTGGAGGTTGATTTAAAAAAAAATCATATTCTATACTCCACAGATGTTTCGGAAATAAAAAAGTCCAGAGTGCAGAGATCAAAATTTTAACACCAGTATTTCCAATGTTGGCAGAGGCTTGCAAATCTGTGGAACATGCCATGAAGAAATGTCCTAATGGAATGTTTTCGGAGATTAAATATGACGGCGAAAGGTTAGTCATTTTTTTAGTACTCTTACTTTGAAGTAGAGTCTTGAGAGCAACTTTTGTTTTTTAGAGTTCAGGTTCACAAACATGGCAACGAGTTCAAATATTTTTCACGGTCTCTCAAACCAGTAATGCCGCACAAAGTAGCCCATTTTAAAGAATACATTCCAAAAGCGTTTCCACATGCCAAAGATCTGATTTTAGACACGGAAATTCTAATGATGGATACCAAGACTGGAAAACCTCTACCCTTTGGAACGTTGGGGGTGCACAAAAAAGCCCAATTTCAAGATGCAAATGTTTGCCTTTTTGTTTTTGATTGTATTTATTATAATGGGGAAAGTCTGATGCAGAAGCCCTTGAAGGAACGTAAAAACATCCTGCATACAACGATGAAAGAAGTGCCTAATCGAATCGTTTTCTCTGAAATGCAAGAAATTGATGAACCTGGAAAACTGGCTAAGATGATCGCCAAAGTTTTGAAATTGGGTGAGTGAAGTAGCAATTTGATCGTTTTTAAATCGTTTTTTTTAATATCTAGAAGCGATTATTAAGCTTTCATAGTTACAGCCGTATAATGACTTAATTTGACCAAGTATAGCTTTCGAAAATCATTATCATTTTTTTTCAAAATGTGTAGGATTAGTTCTTTTTAGAACTTGGTCTTACAGTAGACAAGAAATTACTCAAAATAGTCTGAAAAAGCCCCCAAAGATTAAGAAAACTACCCCAGACAAGCAAGTTTTAGGCGCAATGAGCGCTATCTCTCTTAAAGGGACCAATTCAATGGCCCCCAGGATAACCAGATTTAACACCCTAAAGGCGGATATTATAATGTACGGTTGCCCAACGGTTGAGATTCAACCCACGGTTGGAGGCAAGTTTTGGTATTATAAACTAGAATACTCCAAATACATGCCAAGGCGTAAAGTAGCAACAACGCTACACATTAAAACTGATGATGGTGGAAAACA